ACGTAGAATGACGAGTTGAGATAGCTTGCGTATTCTGGGCAGTCGTATCCCGGGACGAGCTCGAAGGCGTAGGGGCCGAATCCGTAAAACGTATCGAGATATGCGGTTCCCGACTGCATCGGGTCGTTTCCTGTTTGCAGATTAGAGGATGCTAGGGGATCTCTGGCGAGCATCGCGTTGACATGCCTGCATAGTGGGCCAAGGCCTCCTGGAGGCTCAGCTCGTACAAGACCCTCTTGCCCTGGTAGTGGACATCGTAAAGCGCAAGACCAGTGTCGCGCGAAAAGCCAAGGTAGAAGCTAAAGTCCATCCACTCGACATACTTGGCCTCGGCATCAACAGCGAATCGAGAGCCAGCTGGGGCGATTGTGACAGGGGGATAGGCAGTGTCGAGCGGCAAGATGGGGCCCTGTTGATCGGTGCGCGCCCAGTCTCCCTCAATATTGCCGCCGTTCTTTACAAAGCCTTCGCTCCAGTAGGCGGCGCGGAACTCCTCAGTCGTTTCGTAAAAGATGTTGTTATACAGCCACCCCTCCAGTTTCCATTGGCTGATGTCACGGCCGGTAACATCAGACATGAAGTACAATCCAAGCGGCAGCAGCGTCTCGGCGTCGAAGTCATCAGAAGGGAGGTTCCAGTAGGTGTCCCATCTGATGATCCTGCCGTCGTCCTGCCACAAGGGGTCAATGCCCCAGATGTCGAGAGTGTCGTTCTCCAAACCCAGTGCTGTGCCGTTCCAAAGGTCGAGGGTGATGTCGGCAATGGATTGCGAGTGCACATAGAGCCATTCCACGTAAAGCGCATCCGAGTCGGCGTCAAGATTCCGCACCTTGCCCCCATTCTTCTTAGTCAAGGGGTAGGCAAGGGGTTCCCAGGTAGTTGTCTCATTGTTGACTGGGACAGGTCCGACCAGAAGGTCAACGTAATAAGGGTCCTCGCTCGCGCGGTGGTTCAGAACAACGTGCGCATACTTTGTCGGCGTGGAGGCGTTGCCGTCCAAGTAGGCAAGAGCGTCCGTCTTGTTTGGCCACAATGCCTCAACCAGTGTTCTGTGTGTGGTTAGCCTACAGTTCCCGAAGGGCGTCGTAGTAGCTTACATTGTGTTGTCCCAAGATGTGGCCTCTTCCGTCGTGGTCAGGTTGAGATCCTCTTGTGCAAAAAGCCACTCGACGACACCGGCGGTCTCGACATCTGTCAGCGGCGCCCAGATGTTGACTTTCTTGGAGGTGGTGGTGGTTGTGAGGGTCTCGGCGCAAGATTCTAGCTCGGTGGCTCGCCGCTGGCCCTCAACTGCGCGTTTGAGGGTGTTTGCCATCTTCTTCTTGGCGGGTCCTTTGCGAATCCATGCCGCCTTGGGCTCGGGTGACGGACGAGCGAAGACATCTTGAGCTAGGGTGGTGAGGAGGAGGGCGGATGCTGCAACCGCCCTCGGGCTGATGCAGTTCAGGAGGCCCATTGTGTTGTCGTCTCGAGGACCAGGGAGTTGCCGGCCAGAAGACTATGGGAGAAGCTCGTAGCTATTCTCGGGTGCCTCCCAACTCGGAACTGGGCGAGCCTGGCTTATATGCCTCAGCGGTCTCGATGGGCAGCTTCTCAACAACCCCAGGGCACCCAATTCCAATACGCCATGGCTTCTGATGCTCGATTTGATCTCACTGATCCTCGGCTTGCAGGAGCTCTTATCAGCAGGGCTGCCAGCTGCCTAGGTGAAGGTGGTTGGTGAAGACACGATCAATATGCTAATGGGATGGGCCTGCAGTCCGAGGTACCTTCTTCCACACCACTACAGCGACCCCACCATGCAACCATCCTGCGGTTCCTAGTTTTCCTACTGCGGTTCGGCGGTAGCTCAGGTCCGTTCCCCTCTGCGGCACGGGAAGGTCTAGGCCGAAAGGAGGGTGAGCCAGGGCCAATCGGGCGCATGGCCGGCCCACGCGTCGAGCCCGCAGCCATGGAATGGGCGGGTTTGCTGACGAGCGGAAAGCTTGGATGGTCTTGAGTTCTGATGATGGGGGACAGGCTAACTCGCGAACGGCGATGCCGTCCTGGCGACATGGCAGCAGGCTAGCTTATCGCGACCCCAAAGCTTCTGGGCGACGGCGGGGTAGAGCAGGGGGGGGAGCTTCCTGCCAAGATGCATGCAGTGCTTCTCTGGTGCTCGTTCTCTGGTGCTCGTTGATACCCCGCAGGAAGACTCAATAGTGCGAAGGCTAAACGATACACGCAATCCAGGCTCCGGGTAGCTCTTTTGATACCGGGCAGCCGTCCAAGCTCGGAGCTGGAAGCGGGATGATAAGGATCTCGTGAACTCGAAGCCGAAGACATGATATCCAGGGGCCCATGGCTCTAGTGTCAATCGCGCCAGACCCGGGGGAGAGCAGCAACATCACCAGCTGGTCCCCGAGATTGAACATTGATTGCATGTCAGGCACAAGCGAGACATTTTCCCGGTGAAATTGAGGCCCGGGCTGTCAGGTTGCGCACCAGCACGGCCACTGCCTGGATTCACTGGCCAGATCAGGGTCTGGATGCGACGCTGAGAAAGGATGCAATGGGGATGGCATCTTGGATCTTGGCAGACGGAAGTGGGGTGTTTGGCCGATGAAGTGCTCAGTAAGCTGGGCGGTGCTTATCGTCGCAAGCCTGAACGTCGCCCGTGTCGTCAAGTCGGCGGCCAGGGCCGTTGTTGACCTTCCTGGTTCGAGAGCTTCCCATGCGCCAACCCCGCCTCCACCGACGCCTGTGGCTTGCTATTGCTTTGGTGTTGGATTTGACGTGCTGTAGCCTGTCGGTGGGCCGATCGGGAGAGCGCCAGGGTCGTGGCGTAGACAACGGCGGGCCAGTGGGGGTCGTGTGGACTTCTTCGCCAGATCAAGGCAAGCCACCATCGAGCCCACCGCAGATTCGCTGCAAGGAGTCTTGACCGAAATATTCACCGTGGATGGATGCATTTTTGTCGGTGTGGTCTTTGGCCATTTGGCACACCATTTGAGGTGCAGGACAATGAAGGCAAGCGCAACCCAGTCGTGCCAGTTTGACTCAGATCCACCATCACACTAGCTCCGAGGGGCTCGACCTCCCCTGCGTGACGCATGAGACACGCACTCCAATCCGACTGTATCATATCGACAACTTCAAGTTCCATCGTTTTTACGGATACTAATACACTATCGCGTCTCTCGTTTTTCTTGGTTTCTTCTTGACTGACCCCATGTGTTACCAGCTTTGGAGCACTACGAAGGACGTGGACTCGGGGTCCATGACATGGATTCGATCCAGCAGAGCCGGATGCCATGCCATGCCAGCGATGCATCACTGATCAGGCGACGTAGGTAAGGTATGCACAGACGAACTCCTGCAATAAAGATTCCCAAACAAAATCCATCAACCCTCACCTCGCAGGCAATCAATATCTCGTCCATGGGACCTCAAGCGCCCCATCCTCCATGCCCGTGACGCATTGGATGTGCTTGGAATCCACAAACCGAAAGTAGATAGTCCACGACTTCTTGTGATCGACCCACGGGTCCGTCCTGAAGAAGCTATTCGTCATCCGAATCTGCCCCCTCCTCCCCTCAAAAAACATGGCCAATTCCTGCAGCACGGCCGGCGTCTGGATCCTCTGCGGGCCATACGTGACAGCGACAATCTCAACCTGCGCCTTGGGCCCGTCCCTCCAGGCCCCCGCCGCGCCGCCAATCGTGGTGAACTTGGCCATGGCGTACTCTGGCGGCGACTCGTGCGCCGTCGCCGACACGCGGACGGCGAGCGCATCCTCGGACACGTTGAGAAGCCGCAGCTCGGCCTCGTCCTCGTAGCGGTACAGCACCGTCATCGACTTGACCAGCCCGTACGCCGGGTCCGGCAGCAGCGTGTACTTGAGCATGCTCATGTTGAGCAGGAGCGTCTGCCTCTCCTGATCGGCCATGGCCGCCACCTCGCCCGTCACGTTGACGCCGCCCCACGTCGCGCCGATGACTTGGAGACGCGGCGGCAGGGACGCGTCGCGTGGGGCCGTGGATACCGCATCCTCGTAGGATGGGGTTGGGTCCGTTTCGATGGAGATTTCGTCGTCGCCCTTGAAGGCGCGCGCTGGACGGTAGGGCAGGGACGACTTCTCGTCGTCGCTGATTTCTTCCCAGTCGTCGAGCTTCATTGTGATTCCGGTGGGGATGTGGTGGAGATGGTGATGAAGAGGATTGCCAGATAATCTATGAAATGGCGAGGTGAAGTGAGGTTGAGGATGTTGAGACGGACCGTGATATGGCTGCCTGCTCGGCGGGAGTGGGGAATAATTGCGGAGGCTGGCGGCAATGGATAGCGTCTCAGGCAGGCAATGCAGGATGCAAGCTGTGCTCGATTGGCTGGAAAATCTTCCAAATTTGGCGGGGGGTTGCATCACCGCCTGCTTTTAGTTGGCTGACGCGGACTGGCGTCAATGTTGTCTGGGATGTTTACCTCATCTGGAGGTGGCGTCTTTCGACTCGGAGCAATTCAAGTTGGGGATCGTTGTAGTTCAATGCGCCAGTTGCCCAGTCTTTCCAGGCAGGGAGACTTGCCCAAACGTGATAATTGGGTTACATCGAACAGGGGTCGACAACCCTGCTTAACATCATCAACTATTGAAGGTGAATGAACTAAGTTTCTCATTCTCAAGTTCCGTAGTAAATTAAGTCTTTCACTTCTAATACGGCTGACATTATATATGTACCTTAGGTAACTCCAAGTGTCAATGCCGTGACCCTTTGTCGATACCGCCCCCGAGTGAGTCCGGGGCGTCCCCATGCTCAGGTACTGATACACTGAAACCTCATGATGGGAAATAGAAAAGGGGGATTACTGGTGCTTCTTTTCCACTCATTGAACAGTAGTTTTAAATACCAGCCCAATTTCAGTTCATCCCTCAAGCCAGCCTTCACCAAATTTACTCTAAACAACTGCCATCTTCGTCCCCGAGGGTAATACATAACCACAGTTGCGAAACAGCTCTTATATCATGAGCCCGTGTGGCCTAGTGGTTATGGCGGTCGCCTCACAATACTTCAATGAGATTATCGCGACAGGTCCAAGGTTCGACCCCCCTGACGTGGGCATTCCTTTTGCCTCCATCCCCATCTTGATGATGTGGAGTGATGTGGAGTGATGTGGGGTTTGTTTGTCGCCTTTTTCCCTATAACTTCAAGTTCAGTGGGAGCGCGAGTGGGACCCGACACAGTACCACCTCACATAATATGATCGCTACAGGGATCTTGAAAGATGACTCGGAAAGATACTTGTACTGACTTCCACTGCAGGATGAACATTTGCCACTTGTAACACTGCTCGAGTCTTTCAAGTTGCACTAGTCAGAAAAGAGGTCTTTGTGGCGCGCGTTGGACAGGTCAAGGGTCCGGGACACAAGCTCAGGTCAGACTCGGACCGAGAGAGGGAGAGAAATAATACTATAAAACGATTTCGGATCATCGAGAGGGCTGTATATCTCAACCAATTCCTTATCCAACATTGCTTGATTTCGAGCTCTTCATCTAGCAACTTCTGTGGTGTTCCAGCCCGTCTTTTGATTCTGGTATGCTCGGCATGTCCACCCAGCAACGGAAAGGCATTAGCTCACAGCAGCACACGGGAGCTGACAACTATCTACCCAACCTCGGTTCACAATGATCTCATTATTCCTACTTCTTATCGCTCCTCTTGTTCGAGCAGATCGGTTGTTCCGCCCCTTCGACCTCAACTCCACTCCGATTATAACCACCTCCACATCCGACTTTTGGCATCACGTACCACCCAGACACTCCTCGGTTTTTTCAATGACTCCCTTCGCCAATATCACAACCTTTACGGCGACATCATGGACAACAGTTCCAATCGCTCAACTCACCGGGGACCCATTTTGCATCAACGCGGCCGACCCCCAGCAAGGGGTTGGCAACCACTGCGTGTGCAAAAATGGTGCGACGCTTGACATCATCCCATACACAACCGGTGGCAATGTTTCGGACTACCAGCCGTGTGCCTACACCACCGTCGAGGCTGCCAATAGTTCTACCTCGGTCTTTGCTACGGGTGAAGGTGGCACTGTCACCGTGACTATCCCCACAACCACGGTGTGGTTAACTGTCACCTTCACGAATAATTCGCTGGGAGGTAGTGGCCACACTGGGGGTGTACCGTGACATGGTACATGGTGTGAAGGACGGAGGCTGGGACTTTGAGATCTCTAAAATCATGAATGAGATAATGTCTTCTCAACGCTGTACCAGCCCATGCTCCTCATCTTACACGCACCGTTCAATGTCTTTACAAGTGATAGTCTGACGGGGCTGTCACAGTAACACCGCGTCGTTCCCAAACACCCTCGATACCCATATCGGCCCGGCCACTTTGATCTTGTCAGCATATTTCCAGAGTGATACGGGGATACGCGTCCTTGACTTACTCATCCTTTAGGTTGATAAAAGGCTCTGTGGCACCGGCCGCGGTATCGGGGTTTCTAAAGATGACATTGCGGGTCTGTAAAGGGAACCTGTCAGCACAAGGACACTTGAGAACTATGGGAGAGTAACATACCAAACCCAATGTCAGATGAATCCCTGCCGGTGCAACCGTGATAGTCTCCACCGGCTCACCCCCGGCCACCATGGCAGCGATATTCTTCGCCGCGACCGCCGCCTGAACAGACCCCGGCCTGGCCGCCTTATGCGCCCCGGTATCGGCGATATCGCCCACAGCGAAGAGATTCGGAAACCTCCCATCCCCAAACTGCAGCGTTGGCCGCACGCGAACAAACCCATTCTCAGGATTCACCAGCCCCTCGCCCAAACCCGCCACCACAAACCGGCTATTCGGCGTCTGCCCCGTCGCGACAACCACAAACTCGGCCGGCACCCTCCGCCCATCCCGAAGCGCCACAAACCCCTCCCCACCTCCCACCGGGAACCCCCCTTCGGGAACGACCGCCCGGCTCCCCAGCACCATCTCCACCCCCAACACCCCCAGCCGCTCCTTGACCAGCGCGCTCAGCCCCTGGTGGTAAAACGGCATCAGCTGCTCACGCGAGTGCACCAGCGTGACCTTCTTGGCCGGGTACACCTCCTTCAGGTCGCACGCCATCTGCACCCCCACGGCGCCGCCCCCGACCACGACGACCGAGCCCGCGCGCGCGAGGTCCTGCTGGTACGTCTGCAGGTAGCGCACGGCGGCGGGCTTTTCGTCGGTGGCCACGGTGCCGGGCGGGGTCAGGTGGGTGCCGGTGGCGGCGATGAGGTAGTCGAAGGGGACGATGGTCGAGTGGCTCCACTCGCGGTCGAGGATGACGTGCGCCGGGTGCAGGGAGAGGACCTTGGCGCGGACGACTTGGTGGCGCGGGTCGGAGAAGAGGTGGGTGTACGGGATGAAGGCTTTATGTTCGTGGGATGGGAGGATGGCGAAGCGGGGAAAGGCGAAGAGGTGGTGGAAGTGGCTGTGCGGCTCGATGAGCAGGACCTAGGGGGGGGTTTTAGTGAGGTTTGGAGTTTGGGTTGCAGGGTGGCTTACACGATGGGTTGCGGGGAGGAGAGTGGCTAGTTCTTTTGCCGCGTTCTGGAGTTGGAGTTGTTAGTCCATGGCTCTTGAACTGTCACAGACCAACAAGACTCACTATGCCGACGTAGGACCCCCCGACCACCACCACGTTCCTCAAAGCCGTCATGCTTGTGTCGTTGACCTGTGCCGTTGCCGACGAGCTCCACCACTGTTGGATGAAAAAGGCGAGGGCGAAAATAAGAGTGAAAACAAATGCGCTCGAGTTGAAAAACTCCGTGACATGCCTCATGGCTGTGTGTGGTGAGAGGCAAACTAGGGCTTCGCTACTTATGAGAAAGATTGCGAGCACATGAGTCGGCTGGCTCGGTCGGAGATCTCGCTTCGTTGCTCGTTCGCATTCGGAGGGGAGGACGGTGAAACGCCGAGCACGGCGAGTACACAAGGATGCCGGCCCCGCCTTCGGGACCCCCTCGGTCGTCGGGGTTAAGGTTTAGCCTGTAAGAGCAAATCTGGTCCAATCATCTCGCTTCGGTAGCACAACGCCACAAGATAGCGCTGGGAATGGTGGTAGGGATGTAAATGATGCTGACGTAGGCATGTGTCTCTCTACTCGTAGATATAACACAACTTCCCCCCCATCCCGCCCACGGTGCTCATCAAGTCCCTCGTCTTGACATCCCCCGCCAGAACCCCCAAATTATTCGGATCATCCAACGTGCCATTCGCGCTCGCCGGCATGTTATTCATCGTCTTGGTCATGCTCACCTCGGCCGTCCGCTTTACCAGGTCCTGCATCTGCCAGATCCACCACACGCGGTCAATCATCGAGTGGTGCAACCAGAACACGGGGTCGCCCGGGCTGACGTAGAAATCGCCCGCCGGGTCGCCGCTGACGGTGTAGTGGCCGCCAGCGTGCACGCCCCACTTGCCCTGCGGAAACTGCCCCTCCATGACCGTCTGGAACCAGTACACGTTGCTGTTCTTGGTGATGAGATCGAGCGTGTAGTTGGCCGTCGTTACCGCCGCCGCGTTCTTGTTGACGTCACGCCGCAGGCACCGCGGGTTGTACCCGAACCCGTCCGAGCGCGGGTTACGCGTCACCGTCAGTGACGGCGCGATGGGGCCGATGTTGACCGACATGCTGTGCCGCATTAGTATTCAGCTGGGTTAGGGGCAAGGGGGTGACCGACTTGCGGAAGGGCCCCGTCGTCACGCAGCCTCCGCCATCGCCGGGCGGGATCACGTTGTAAGGCCGGGGTGCGCCAGGGATCTGGACGCCGGCGTGCTGCACCTTGGCGCCGTTGCCGCCCATGCTGAACTCGTTGCCGTTGAAGAGCGGCGAGTTGACGGGGTCCTTTGCATAACGGTCCCAGTTCCAGTACTGCACGGTCATGTTAGTGGCCTGAACTTGAGTGGCGGCAGGAAAGGAGAGGCAAGTACCGGCTGGTATCCCTTGTAGCCACACTCGGTCCGCAGGGCATTCTCATAATGCCAGATGTAGTAGCGATGCCACGGCAGGAAGAATGTAGACCCGTGGTTTCTCGGAGTCTGCTGGATGTGGACGACAACATAGTCGTCAAACCTGCTCTTCGCACCAGGTGCTATGGACGAAGTCAGGGGGGGCTTGGACTGGAGGCACAGCACGGCGTCGGTGTACGCCTTGCGCTCTGCCTCACTCAGGTCGCTCCTAAAGGGGTCTGTTAGTCTGTTGCTGTACCCCTGAAGAACAAAGCAGCACATACCATTCCCTACGCCTGATGGCTGTTTCTACCGTGCAGTTACCCTGGGGGTTCTTTGCGAGCCACTCCTTGAGCTTGGGCAGGGTGTCCTGCGCTAGCTTATCCACGGCATCGGGAGAGTATAGGCCCGCGGCCGAGACCCCGGCGACAAGGGCCGCGGTAAACAGAGATCGAAGCATCTTGGACTAGAACCGGTGGCTACCTGGTTTGACCTGCATGGCAGCCGCTCTGTCCTGATGCTCGGAGACAGGTGCCGGGAAATCATAGTGAATATAACAAAACCACTACGCCTCCGAGCCATTTAATCAACACACTAGCGTAAGGTGTGATGGACTCGGCAGAACGTCTAACAAATGCTTCTTGCTGCATTCCCTGGTGGCGCCAAGCAGTCGGGTAAGTTGGGCGGTTCGGCACTGGTGCCCGCGCTGAAAACGGAATGCTCTTCGCGTTCTGACTGGCTGCAAGGAGAATAAGAATCCGGGGTTCATTCTCGTGTCGGAGCGCAGGGCGCATCCGTGGTGGGCTACACAAACAACCAGCCGGGTCAACCGGCTCATTCGAACCAACCCCCAGCCTCTCATGTGCCGCCAAAAACGACTGATATGTCTCCGCCGCCATCAATAACAAAGGTCCCTTGTCATATGAGTAACACAAAGCCCAATTATAAGCAACGGCGCTAATTGCTCTTGGTCACGGTCGATGAGCCCCATCGGATGGTCGAATGAGAGAGGTCCAATACAAACACACATTTTCCCGGATAGAGTGATCGTAGATCAACTTCTAGAAGAGAAGCATAGATCTCTTCGAGAACATGAGCCAGCAAGACACTAAGC